ACTATTTCAAGTCCTTTGCTGTGGACATCAGAGATCCTGAGGGAAGGAGGAATCCATCTAGTCCCACTCAGGAACTGTTTTTCAGGAGGATGTCTCAGGAAGATCCAAGTCAGGACAGCTCAGGAGGTAATCGAAGGCCCTCCCATTCCCCAGAGAGATCCCAGCTGTCTCTTCTTCTCTCTGTCTCCTCTTCTCTATAATGCCTCCTCCTATTTTATTAATTCTGCACTTTAAAATTCTGTCTCCCTCACAGGGAAGATTCGAACAAAGTTGTCTGCTCTTCCTGGTGGAGCTGAAACAGTGGATGAACCTCCAGCTCCAGTAAGAGGAGGAAATTTGTCTATTAGATTTGTATTCTCCCGTTGCTTCAGGAAGTCAAGCTGGTGAATGCAGCACTCTGTCCTTCCATTTTTCCCCCTCTTTTGGGCTTGGGTGTTTTCTTGTCCTTGAGCAACATGGAATTGGGAATGGAAGATTCAGGTTGCCCTCAGTCAGCTTAGCCTCCTCTGAAACCCTTGGTTTGGATACAAGGGTTTGTAATTCCTCCCCCAAGATTCTTATCGGAAAATGTTTTTTTAAGACCAGTACTTAACTAACATTCTGGTACTTACTCTTCCTACTATTAGTTTACAATAATTTTTTTTTTAAAGTTGCTCAAGGGATAGGAATAATATTATTACAGTTATAGCAACCGCTAAACAGAGACCCATTCTCTTTTTAACTCCTTGACTTGGAATTGTGCAAGGCTGCTCAAAAATAACTAAATACTCAGATTGGCACATTGTCTTTTTTAAAAAGCCTTGTTTCCAACCAGTGATATGAAATACAAGCACATCAGATTAAGACATGAGCCAGGCTATTAACATCCAATGAAAATGGCCGGATAGAAAAGATTTTAAGTAGAAACTGTTCCGAAAGAGCATATAATCAAGCCAGGCTATTAACATCCAATGAAAATGGCCGGATAGAAAAGATTTTAAGTAGAAACTGTTCCGAAAGAGCATATAATCAAGCCCCTTTTGCCTCGCAAAGTAATTTCTAATCCTCTCTTTTCTACCTGGATTTGGAGGCCAAAGAATCCAGCTTGGCAAAGGTTGAGAAATGTCCTTCCCAGAAAATTGCCTCCACTTTGTTGTCTCCCATTCAGCCAACGGCTCAGACTACTAGCACCTTTCTTGCAGTCTGAGGAAGGGAAGAACCTGGCTTGTGGGCCTCTGGATATTCATGGCCCCCCACCCAAATCCCTGGCTGTGCTCCCCCAGCACTTTCATGAAGTTGTTGGAGATGGGCACGATTAGTCCTTCGGGGGACATTGTAAGCCCCTTGCTGAAATGCTAGAAAGAATCCCCCTGCCCCCCAATTTCTTCTGCAAGCACAGGAAGGATTGGAGACACTGATAGGTGGGGTTGCTGAAGACCATCTGCCAGTTGCTCCTCCCAAGACGCTGAGAGTCTTTTGAAGATGGGTGCATGGATGGCTTGATGGATCGATCCAGAAGGAAATTGGGGTTGCTTTCACTGAATGGAACTGAAAGTCCTGCAGAAGCAATCAAGTGGATCAAGCCTGGCAGAAATACTTCTTCAGTCAAAAATTTTGGCTCTTTCCATTTTCTCACCTAAACCTTGGAATCCCACCAAGCTTTGCCATTTAACTTAGTGCATATCTTTGCTTTGGGAATTTGTGAAGAATACGACAGATCTTGCAAATCCTCCTGGGCCTGTTCTGGTCTTTTTTTCCTTGTTCAGGAGGGTCTTGTGTCCTTCGAGGACGTGGCTGTGTTTTTCTCTGAGGAGGAGTGGTCTCAGCTGGATCCTCACCAAAAAGTGCTGCATTGGGAAGTCATGCTGGAAAATTATAGGAACGTGGCCTCTCTGGGTAAGGATTTGCTTCTTTCCCATCAGAGAGTTTGGAAGACATTTTGTAGTTAGATGCTGTCAGCTATATCTTATTAAAACATCGCCAGCCGGATCTCAACTCTTGGGAGGGAGAAGGAAAAGATCTGGCTTTCTCCTGCTCTGAGGAAGGAAAGTGGTCATTGGCTCTCTGCTCAGATGCATTTCTCATCTGGTGAATTTTTCCATTTCTATTTAAAGGTATCAATGAGAAACTCACTCCTTGGCTTGAGGAGATGCTCAACTCCATCACACTGATTTGAGCCCAGATCCCTGTCTGTCCTCTGAAGGATTCTCATTTATTCAGGCTGTTGGGTTAATGACTTGTCTTCTTTTTGATTTCTATCCTGAGCTTTGGGGTTAAGGGTAAAATGGTGCTGTTTTTCCATTGCAAACATGCTGTTTAGTGTTATTAGAAGAGCTCTAGAATTTTTTTTTCTGCAACCATTTGATTTTGGCCAGAGAAAATAGCAAATGGAATAGCAGTTTAGGAAGAAAAGGACAAGTTTCAAAATTGATGTAGTTCTCACTCTAGGTCTTTCCTGTTATTGACCCG